ATTTGAAGGAACGGGAAACTTCAAGGGACGTGAAGTGAAGCTCAAAATTGACCCAACAATAACCCCGGTCGCACAAACAAATCGGAAAATTCCACACAGCATGAAAACCAAAGTAAACAAAAAGCTGTAGGAGATGAGAGAAGAAGGGATAATCGAGAAAGTTGAGGGAGCAACGCCTTGGTTATCACCGTTGATAGCCATCCCAAAGAAGAGTGGGGACCTCCGACTAGTGTTAGACATGCGTATACCTAACACAGCACTTGTAAGACGGCGCGTACAAATTCCTACAGTCAACGAGATACTTCAAAAGATGGAGGGAGCAAAAGTCTTTACAGAGGTTGACCTGTCGCAAGGTTATCTTCAACTGACCTTGGCAGAGGAATCCCGTCATATTACAGCATTTTCAACTCCTGAAGATGGTCCGCATAGATTCACCAGGCTGATAATGGGAGCATCACCATCCGGAGAACACTTTCATGAGATTATCCACGAGCTCATCAAAGAGGTACCAGATTGTGCCAACATCTCTGATAACATTTGGCTATGGTCCAAAGACAGAGAAACACACCTCAAGCGGCTAGACCAGCTCCTCACAATCCTGAGAACCAATGGCATCACACTGAAACTACCAAAGTGTTCGTTCGCAGTACCGCAGATAAACGTGTTTGGTCATATCGTGTCCGAGAAAGGGATCAGACCAGATAGCACCAAAGTCGAAGCCATAACAAATGCTCCACATCCTACCACAGCATCGGAAGTCAGATCCTTCCTAGGCCTCACCAATTATTGTTCGAGATATATACCCGACTACAGCAGCCTAACCTTCCCACTTCGACAGCTCACAAAGAAGAATGTCACGTTTCACTGGGATCACAGTCACGAGAAAGCATTTCAGTCACTGAAGAATGCCATCACCACTTCACCGGTATTAGCTCATTACAATCTTACTGCGGAAACTAAAGTCGTAGTAGATGCATCGCCATGGGCACTGGGTGCCGTACTTCTCCAGAAACAAGCCGACGACAATTATCGACCAATCGCGTATGGTAGCAGATCGCTAACAGATGTCGAACAGAAGTATGGTCACATAGAGAAAGAAGGATTAGCAATCGTATTCGGATGTGAACACTTTCACATGTACCTATATGGACGTAGTTTTGAATTGGAGATAGCCTGATAACAGACCTACGTTTCACCCGCCCTAAAATTCGTCGACGGAAAGGGCGAAACGTAGGTCTGATGAAAATGTTGTCAAAAGCGCCTTCCGCCCACTTAGTGCATTTTGAAATAATTAACAACGATGATTGACACATACATGTAATACCTAAAAATACAATGAAAGTTGTCGATTCACTTTAGACTTTATTGCAAGTTTGTAAACTAGTCAAGGGTCGATATTCGAATATTTAAAATATTGGTAACCCCATGGAGCCCGTTGCTTTTATATACATAAACCTTTGTAAATAAACAGTTACAGCTATAGTAATAATACAACATTTTCAACACATTCTATAAATGCGATAAAATCTGCCTACGGAAATTTGGCAATGGCCATTGTTGAATTGCATCCCAACTCTTACAATTTATACATTTTGAAATCGCCATACAATGGTAAAATCTAAATAAAATATTTTGTACGTGCTATGTTATCAAAATGTAAATCATGAATGCGCACATATTTGTATCCGAGTTTTACTATGATTAATCACAAAACTTAGATCTTGTATAAAAAATTATATATTGTATTGTTTATTACAACGGAAAGATACAATGTTGAAGAATTTGACACGTACCGCTCTACTCCCCTCTAGTTTTAATTTTAGACGGTAGATAGTTGCCGTTCGGCATCACAAAATATGTAGAATATTACACTAGCCGTTTTCTCATTAGAAGACGGACAAGTCGTCTAGACGAACAAATCGTCTCAAAATCGTCTTTTAGTCGGACAAATCATCAGATGTGAAAACGTGTCGGACAAAATTTTAGACGAACAAGTCGTCTGAATTTGTTCGACTACTTGTCCGTCTGTGAAGACGATTTTTGAGAGACGATTTGTTCGTCTAGACGACTTGTCCGTCTCTAATGTGAATAGGGCTACTGTATGCATATTTATATGCGTTGATTTACCGTTGAAAATATTCTGATATTTTCAAATCTTTTCATGTTAGCGACCAACCAATCACAACCCATTTCCCTGTGAATTAGCCAATCAGCTTTGTTGACCGCCAGGCGGTCGACTTACATGCCTTTTTGACAACATTTTCATCAGACCTACGTTTCGCCCTTCGTCGACCCGCGAATTTTAGGGCGGGCGAAACGTAGGTCTGTTATCAGGCTAAATTGGAGACAGATCACCGACCTTTAGAGCATATCTACAAGGCAAAGCTTCAAAGCAAACCAACATCAGCCAGACTCGGAAGATGGAGACTTCGACTCCAAGAGTACGACTTCCACGTTATCTACCGACCTGGCCCATCCAATCAGGCCGATCCTTTGTCCCGACTCCCGAAAGATGGAAGCAAGAGGAGCAACATGGAAGCTTGCGCTGACCGATATGTTCATTACATGACACAAGCTCAGACACCGAATGCCATGAAATTAGAAGAAATACAAAGAGAAACATTAGCAGATCCGGAACTCCAGCAGATTAAACAGAACTTGCAAAATAATCAAGTATACAAACTTCCGAAAGCATATAAGCTCATCGCTCATGAGCTCTGCATCACAGATCAAGATATCTTACTTCAGTGTGATCGCATTGTTCTTCCTAACAAGCTGAGACAACAAGCAATTAGCCTTGCACACGAGGATCATGCAGGCATGGTCCGCTGCAAACAACGCCTGCGCTCCAAGCTTTGGTGCCCAGAGATGGACAAGCAGTTTGAAGAACGAATTCGATGCTGTCATCCATGTCAACTTGTCAGTAAGAGCCCGCGACCAGAGCCAATGGAACCAACCAAGCTTCCTAAGAAACCATGGTCGAAGCTAGCCATAGATGTATGTGGACCATTTCCCACTGGAGAACAAGTAGTTGTCCTTACTGACTATTATTCGCGCTGGCCAGAAGTCAAAATCAGTCACGTCCAAAAACATTCTCGACTGGTTACTATCGGTATTTGCAACTCACGGATTTCGTGATGAAATAAAGTCCGACAACGCATCCTACTTTGTTTCTACCGAGTTCAAGGATACGTTAACTTCTTGGGGAATAGAACATACGACGGTGACGGAATATTGGCCGCAAGCCAATGGGCAAGTTGAGAGATTTAATCAAGTTCTCGAGAAACACATCCTAACCGCACAGGCGGAAGGAAAAGAATGGAAACCCACCATTCCAATCATGCTACTCCACTACCGCAATACTCCTCATAGAATGACCGGAAGAACACCTTCATCACTGCTAATGAACCGAGAAGTCAAGACGAAACTTCCTAGTTTTGAACAACAGACAAACGATGAAACTGAAACTCGAAAGAAAGATGAAGAGGAGAAAGAGAAATCGAAGAAATATACCGACAAGAAGCGAAAAGCAAGTCCAAGAAATCTTGAAGTCGGAAATAAAGTACTAGTTACTCAAAAACATCGAAACAAATTTACGACAAAGTTTCATCCTGATCCAATGGTAATCACCAAAATAAACGGCACGCAGATAGTGTTAAAAGACAAGAATGGCACACAACATCGCAGAAACTCATCGCATGTCAAATTATACCAGGAAATTCCTGATCCTGAAGAAGAAATCCAGAGTGATCGAAAGCATGACAGACAAACGGAAATTCGCGAAGGAAACACCGAAGCAACTCAAACAGAAACCAACCAGAGTACTACAGAAGCGGAAATTGTTCTACGTAGATCAACGAGAAATAGAAAACAACCAGACTATCTAAAAGTAGGTTAAGTTAGTCAGGTTTAAAATGCAGACTGTTGACATTTATTTAGTTTAAAGAACCCGGTAATGGAACCCCGTAATAGTAATTCCAAGACACTAAGTCTTAGAACGTAAAGTAAAGAAGTAAAGTAAAGAAGGTAAGAAAGTAAAGAACTACATAGAATTAGAGACTATTTAGAAACTTTAAAGGTTGATATTATTATAACTATAATTAAGGAAGGGATGTTGTATCCTAATGCTGATTGGTCAGCTGTAAGTGATTGACATATAAGATTAGGTCACGAGACATTAGATTAGATTAGGAGACGCTAAGCCAGAGAGCAAGCATATACATGTATAACATAGCAGAGTAAATATATGTTATAAAAGTTGAATAACGGAGGATATAAAAGCAATCAAGTAGAAATAATTTATTCGAGTGGTCGCAATTAAAAAGAAAAAGGCGAAATATTTCGCATTTCGCTGACAAAAAGGGCTCGTGGAATCAGGCCTTAACGCCTGTTCAACGCGCGCAAAAACGTAAACAACTCTGATGCAATCATAGACAGTTTCGATAGAGGTAGAGTTCCAGTTATATTTATTTCAGTGTATCACCCAGAGTTGATAGCTTCAATAACAAAGTGTAAACGCGCAGCGAAATTAGTACCCTTTCCACGGATTTATGGTATATTTAGACTCGTTACTTATCATATTTGTCAATTGATTATAAAGATACGATGCTGTCTTTCCAATCCCTCCTATCCATGACGACCACTGGCATCACGTGTGTACTACTTGGAACAGTACTAATGGCCACGTGAACATTTTCGTTGATGGTGCGCTGCGGACATACCCAGGAAAATCTTATTTTAAAGGAGTAAAAGTGATCCCAAATGGAACATTTACAATTGGATACCATAGAATTGACGAAAGTGAATTTGGGTACTCCGGAAAGATAAGTCAGCTCAACGTTTGGAATCACGTGTTGCCTAGCAACAAAATACAAGCGATAGCGAAGAATTGTACAATGGACCATTCAACAGGCGGAAACGTTCTAAAATGGGGACTAAGTTTTGCGCCCACAGAACAAGACACTGCTGAACCAAGAGCCTGCAGCCAACGAGGTAGGAACAATGGCATGATGACAATTTTTAAAAAAATGCTATCAGGACAGTATCAGAAACAGTATCAGTTTCTGTAACAGAAACTGTAACAATCACACTTACACGCACAGTGGTACAACAGGGTATCAGTAAGGGGTTTTTTCATTCTAACACGATAGGTATAACAACAGCATAAGTGAAACAGGAACAGGAATAACGATAACAAGAATAGCAATAGCAACAGTAACAACAGTAACAGTATTATATTAACATTAATAGCAACAACAACAGAAACTGTGACAACGAGAGTAACAGCGTCTGCAACACTAACAGCAACAATAACAGTCATGGTAACATTAACACTAACAACGTATTACAAACATTAACAACAGCATTTAATAGTTCGCTAAATTATGCTTAGATCTCTCTAAAAGTATAAACCACGGTAATTCAGTCCCATGTACCCCAGAGATAAATCTGACTGTGCTATTTAATAAAAAATTTTATTATTTGTTCCGTAAAATCCCGTACAATCCTTGAAAATTAATTTTTCTTAATTTAACAGACCAAATGGAAAGTGATTACGACTTGAATTTTCCCGGTCAAGGTACGAAACCTTATGCTTCACTCATGCTCAAGCAATCACTTACTAAATGTACGATAAGCTGGTGGCTTAAAACAACATGGATTCCAACGACAGATACACCGGTAATCACAATTTTATCTGCTTATCACTCTACTGAACGAGATACTCTATTCGTCGGTATCAGAAGCACGTCCACAATACATTTTGAACAAAGTGGTGGAGAAAAAAGGTAGGTTAGGCTTAGTTACAACTGACGATTACTGTACAGCTCAAAATATTATTCAGTTAAGTAATGTCTTGGCAGTCAGAGTCTTTAGCTAGAAGGCCGTGTTACCGCGGCCAAAAAAAGCCTTTTATTTTGTGGGATTTTTCGCGGAAAACGCATGAACTTGATTTTTTATATAAAACCTCAAAGGTTCATAAAATAGAATGTTGCTACTTACAACAGACAGAATTTGTTTCTATTTATTTCGTAAGAAAGGGAGTAAGATCTAGTTTGCGGAAATTGGTAATTCTATGACGCTTTTTGTTTAAATTAAGGTGGCTCCCTAGGGTTTTATTTCCGGGGGTTACGTTCTTCGTATATATGTAAACTAAAACTCGTGTGACTTCAAAATACGAACGAACGTTGTGTTTTATATGGAACTCTTTTTTGAAACAAAAGTGTGAACTTTGCTTTAGTTGAAAGCATAAAGAGTTCTAAAAGCCAAAACGATACTTGGATGTGATGTTTCAAAAGAAGATAATGTAAACTTGTTTTTTTTTCAAGCGGTATTCTGGAAGTTTTTTGAACCGCCGTACGCGAGGTTCGATCGCGATCATTGGGATATGATATAAAGTTTCCTCAAGAATTTGCAGTGTTTTCTCCACCGATCTAGCAGCACTTATGACAATAAAGATGACTTAAATAATGATCCCTCTACGCGTGAAATGAGCAGGGCCGAAACTCCAAACATACCACTATAAAAACTGAAATTTGAACGGGTATTTTGCGAAAACATCCGACGATAGTACTAACTCGCACAGGACGAATTTTGACCAACATTTTTCAAATTAATACCAAGAAGTCATAACCAGTAATTACCTAAATATCTTCACCAATTTTACATGTATAATCCACGCTTAGTTGACCATTAACCGACACAGTTATAAACAGTATGTCAAACATAATTTATACTTTGTGATTTCAAAAAAGTCATCCCTTGTTGTTTTATGCAGACAGTGGCGGCGCCAGGGGGGGGCAAGGGGGGGGCAAATACCCCCCCAAATTATTTCCCCCCCCTCCATTTTGCCCCCCTCAAAAAAAATTATTAGTCACTAAGAGCGACTAAAGGCTACACAAGCGTTTTGTCGTTATCGGAAAATGTATGGCTTATAAGTTGTCATTACTCATTAATGAATTAATGCGCGTATACATGAAACTGTTTTTTACAGTTTCAATATTAGTTTGTGAATCTCTGAATGGTAAAATACTCCAATAGTACGTTTCAAAAAAAAAAAAAGTTTAATTTTTGCAGAGTTAAATTCTCAAACGTGTAAGGCACTAATAAGATGAAAGTATCACGAAATTATTTGAATAAACCACATCGCATATATGGGGGGCGAATATCCTAAAGAGGGGCGATATTCCTAGGGTATTCGCCCCACCCCCCTGGGAGGCGATATTCCTAGGATATTCGCCCCCCAGGGGGGGGCGAATCTCCTGGGGGCGACCTTTTTAAAAATTGTATCTTGCCTCCCCCCAAAAATATGAGTTTGCCCCTCAAATGCCCCCCCTCCCCAAATTCGGAGGCCTGGCGCCACCACTGTATGCAGAATGCATGTACACGTCAGTTGGGGTATTAAATTGTTCGCGTAAAAAACTAGTAAAAATTGCCAAAATTAAACCCAAATTTCTCTGTTTTCCTTCGGTAAAATTTTTTTAAAACTTTGCACATTTTTTAATATCGGCACAACAAGTACAATATCCTTTTTTCTTAAAATTAAATCGAAGGAAAAATTTTTAATATTGATTTTTGACGTTTTTTAAATTTTCTAAGAAACGTATCGATTTATTTTTTTTAAATTGAAGGAAAAAAATCATTATACAAGTATTATTTATCTTTTATGCAAAGTTTTAAAAAATTTCACCAAAGGGAACTTTTAAAATGACCTGAAAAAGACAAATTTTGAGCTTTATTCTAAGAATGCTGTTGCCATGACAACATATTTTTAAACACAAAAGTAGCAATTTGTAATGTTCAGGAGAACATTGTCAATGTGTCCAATAAATTTCGTCTTCATGTCATGTAAAGTAAAGAAACAGGAGTCTCCTGAATACTATAGTGTAGTAAATTAAAAAACCCTAGGGAGCCACCTTAAGTCGATATCTTCTGTATGCAGATTTAAATGTCCCAAGAGTCTCTGTAATAAGTCATTGTAATGTCAGGATGACATGCATGTGTGGACACGAGTAGTAATATAGGTACCGATCGATCCGGATTTTTGAGGGTGCGTAAGGGTGCACTAATTAATATTCATACAAATGAGGGTGCGTAAGGGTGCTGAGGGTGCGCTAATTAATACTCGTACAAATGAGGGTGCGTCATCATTAACATACGTCATAATTATATGCAATGACGTCACGCGGGCCTGTTCGGGCGAAATTGGACAAAGCTTGCTGACTACGCATTTTTAGCCCCCACGTGTCTGATACAATAGAGGGATTAAGATTGGCTTGCTATGAATAGTCTGTGTCCCTCGCATGGCAAAATTGTTGTCGAAATTAATATACAGGGTGTATAAAAAAAACTGAACAGATTTGAAATTGCTCTCAATTTCGCAAAACACCTATTTGTATCTGTTTTTTTAAATATATAGCTTCTTTGGGTACTTATAATGTAAAATAATGAAAAAAATTTCGCGAACTCAAATTTTGTGAACCAGGGGGGTGTGTCTTTTCCAACAAACTAAAAATGGCTCGCGCACAAAATTTAAAAGCTGTAATAATATTTTGAGTTGATAAATTGAAAAGTTGTCGGGTTTTTAATTACTGTACAAAATTTCAGACAATTTGGTTTAGTTAACTATTCATTTTGTTCTAAAAAGTCAGCCTTTCGCATGCTTAATTAATGCCTTTACCTAATTTGCATATTGCTGACATATGCAAATTAGGCAAATGCATTAATTAAGCATGCAAATAGCTGATTTTTCGGGAAAATCT